CGGGACCTCCCGGAGCCGCCATCCGGCCTGGCCTCGCCGCGCGGCTGTCGCGTGCAGCGCCCGCCCGGGGCCGCCTGGGCCACTCTTGCTTAGTGCTCTTCACACCGACCGACCCTGCGCCGTCCAGCCTCGGGGCCTCGTCGTCCTCCCCCGCCCCAAGACGCTAATTCCCCCGCCTCGACCCGAGATTACCCTGGCTATTTCGGACCGAGGATTAGGGAGACGCCGAGGAGGCACAGCCCCGCCACCCTGGCCCCTGGCGTCCCGGGAGCTCCAGCCTTGCAGCAGCTTCGCCGCCTCTGGGTGCTGGTGCCCGAAGCCCTGCTGGCAGTCTTCGGTGCCCACCTGGGCGGGGCTCGGGCTCCAGGCTAGGGACTTAGGTGACGCTAGGGTGGAGTTGCCGCGTTTGCGGCGAGCTCTCTGCCTACCCCTTCTGCAGCAAGCAGCCTTTGGGACTGTCAGGGGTCGGCTAGAAAAAGTGTGCGATGTGGTCAGTAGCTCTAGAACAAGCGACCTGAAAGGCTTTGGGCACGCAATGCTGGAGGAGGGAGCTAGGCTGACTCCAGATAGGGGGTCTGATTCCCTGGAGTGGGAATCCAGGCCCTGGAGACCCGTTTCCTCCACCTCAGGTCGGGCTGCATCCTGCCATGGACATGGGACAGAAAGCCCGCTACAGCCTGCTTGGAGCACTAATTGTAGGCATTTATGGAGGGGTTGGTCTACTCTTTGAAAAAGGAGAGTTGGGTGGGGGTGAGTGGGGTCTGAAGAACCAGAGTATGGCTGGATTCTGTGGCTCTTTAGGGGGCAGGCTGAGGTGTTATACTCACCCTTTCTTTCAGTTCTTCTGCGAGGTAGGGGGATTTGTGACCAGCTCCTAACGGGTGTCACCGACACAGCCCCTCTTGCCACTCCAGAGCACGGAGCGGGAGAGCTTAGTTAGCTCTGAGGCTTTTCATTAGTCCCTTTCACAGAGGCTGTGGGTCAGCTCATGCTGGATGCAAGGATGGAGAGGAAAGTCTGGGCTGCCGAAATGAAGTCCCTCGCAGCTTGGGGAGGTGGCATCAGGGTAGGGACACACATTCCTGTTTTGATAGGGAACAGTGACACACGTTGGCCGACTGATGCCTCACAACACTGTCCCTGGAGATATAGTCCTTTTTTCCCTTCAAAGTCACCCCTACTGACCAAGTGGAGTACGTGGACAGGAGAACTCAGAGCGACAGAGGTTTCTTCCCCTGCCTTGGGGAATCTCCATTGTCCATCCAGACAGTGTGGTCTTGCCTGAGGAGGTCAGGGGGTGCAAATGCTGAGATTTTAGTTCAGAAGCTTCCAGCTTTGAGACCATCTGGTGTTTCCCCTACTGGAGGCACAGACAAAGCCTGTGTCACCTCAAAAAAGTATAGTGTCACTTTTAAGGAAAGCAAGTGGCAGCACAGTTCTTGCTCTATGTTGTAGGTCCAAGGCAGCTTGCGAACTTCAATATGCATACTAGGAGCCTGGACTTCTTTGCTGATTGTGGATTCTAACCCAGCAGGTCTTGGGCAGGCCAGAGAATCTACTTCTCTCACAAGCTCTGAGACATTGTATGTTGCTGGCATGTAGACCCCATGATAATGAGTGAGTGTCTGTGAGGAATGGGGATAGGAAAAGGAACAGGAGCCCCCACTTCAAGACAGAGCACACTAGCCCTGCTTTCCTGCCTGAAACTCATTTCCTGGCCTTTTGGAAGAGGAATGCCAATTCCTTCCTGTTCTGGCAGGAGATACCTCATATCCTCTAGTTCTGTGGTATGGTATTTAACTGTTGTGTGCTTAGGACTCTGGGACACTAGGGGCTGCTTTTCCAAACATAGATTAGTTGTGTCAGGGGTTATGTGAATAAAGTGATTAATGTGAAAGAGTGTGTGATGACTAATGCCCCCTGAGAGCTTTTATTAAGTACCTGTTGTATGTAGAACCATCAGAGATAATATTTGGAGATACAGGAAGAACCACAGAAAAGAAGAGATTAAATAATGCCACATAAAGAAAATAATGTGAGTAGATGGACTCGGGACTAAGGCCCAGCTCTGCACATCCCAGCTGGTGACTGTGGGACAGATCACACCACCTTTCCTCATCTCAGCTTTTCTTAAATGCATACAAAGCAGGAATCAGTCTAACTGCCTCCTGTTTTTCCCAGAGGTAACAGGGAGAAAGGAAACCAGCACCCTGTAGGTACTTCATGCACGCTAGATTCTTCCATGTCTGTCAATTTCTCATTTCTTTGGATCCCATGAGCCCAGGCAGGAGGTGGGAACTCAAAGGCTAGGTGCAGGAGATGTGCCATGGGGAATATGGAACTGTGGGGAAGGGTTGCTGAAATTGACAACTGTTATTGAGCCTGAGTTTCCAGAGGTGACAGAGAAGTACAAGGCCACAGTTTGGGGGGAATGGAACTGGGGGACTGGGCTCTACTACTCCCTGCCTTTGGGCATTTATGATGCCATTCCCAGGCTTTCCTGTCTGCATAGAGTGTAAGAGAGGGGCTGACAAGCGTGCTGGCTGAGCATTTCCTAAGTAGCTGGGAGCCACTGCAGCATTCATTAGGAGCTTCCTGCTCACTGCATAGATGAGCTTCAGTGGTCCATTGCTTGCCCCGAGACAAGAGTGAGCTTGATAATCACCTCACCAGGCACAAGATGCCTGAACATTCTAGAAGCCTTCAATCCCAGAAACCCTTAAGCTCCTTCTCAGAGGGTTTTCTTGCATTTCTTGACCGATAGGCCAAAGGTCATCATTGATTCCCAGCATTGGGGGAGAAGATTAAAACAGGGAAGAAATCCAGTCATTCATGGTGCCTTTGCTAGCCCGGGAGTTGTTTCTGTTGTTATTGATGTTGATTTTCCCCTGATAGCAGCACTCATATGCAGTGTTCAGTCAGCTACATTCTAATGATCCATTTCTAGAACCACAATCCCCTCACTAGAGTTTGGGTACCTAATGGGTGCTCAGAGTATATTGTTTGAATGGGTAAGGCCTGGGAGAAGAAGGGTGATTGGAACCATCCTGTAGCAGGTACTGATGAATATATTGAATCAAGTTTAGGAGAGCATGACGATATTCCCAAAGGTTTTGCTGTGTGCTCACACCTCATGCATCATCACTCCTATCAGGCAGAGACAGTTGCTGCTCTCATTGTACAGATGTGAGACCTAGACTCCAAGTGATGACTTGCCCTGTTTAAGCTCTGCCATCTTGTGAGCCAGTGTTGGATTGCACACTGTTGCCTGGGGCTGATCTTGCTCACCTACTGCCTGCCTTTCACACTGTGGAATGGTCAGACCACCTCTCAGGATTCTTTTTGGCTCCTGGCCCATGCTTGAGGGAGCCCAGCATGTGTGGATCCCTTCTGTCCAATGGAATCTCGTCACCAAGGCAGCGCTTTTGGTGGTGGTTGTACAAAGGGGCAAGGATGGAAGAAGGTGACCCCCTTTTAGCCTTTGATCCTCTGAAGTTTCTTGGCAGAAGTAAACATCAGCCTTAAGTGGCTGAGGAGAGGCCCAGTGGAGCTGCCTCTTCCGCCTTCTCATCTGCTCCAGCCCTCAAGGGCTGTCACATCACACATCACTCTGAGAGGACGTTTTTTCTGAAGCTCTGAATTGGTGACTCACTCTGGGGGAGGTTTTCAGTGGCATTCAGTGTCTGTTGACTTACCAAACAAAGTGCTCTCCCTGGGCTTGTGGTGACATTAACCATGATGATGGTGCTTCATTTCAGGGGCATGCTCAAGGGTGGCCGTGGAAGAGGGGGTGGCAAGACAAAACTGGATTGTCCTAATTGGCAGCAGGCAGATGACACAGAAAGCCCTACTTAGGATGGTCCTGGCAAGGAGACTTTGGGTTGTGTTATTCCTCAAAGTGGCTTGGAAGTACCAAAACTGGGCTGCAGGGGCCAGGGAGCAGAGTGCTCTTATGTGCAGATTTCCTTTCTCCCTCTGAGCAAAAGCCTGGGAGAGGCTGGGAGGGCCTTTTCTCCTCATCTGTGACTAGGGCTAAGAAACTGGTGACAGGAAACACTGTGCTTATGTTTCCATTAAATAATATTCTTGTTCTCCCAGCTGAGATAAAGCCTGTATCCAGTGCTGGGAAGATATCCCTCTGTCAGGAACAAACTGCACCACACTTTGGGACACTTGTCCTAGTTGGACAAAATGTATTAAACTGTAAGGGAGCAGGGTGAGCCATTCTTATTTTTCCAGCAGATGGTAGAGTCCGCAGAAAGATGAGGGAGTGTTTCTCTGAAGCTCTCTCCCAGCCGTCTTACAAGCTAAGCAAATTATTATTTTACAACCTAGAAAATAAATCAGGGAATGCTTCTTTATCTAGCGGGAGCTGAGGAAAACAGTGAGCAGTGCAGTGTGTGAAACTCAGTCAGGGGCTGTTGGTGTTTTCGACGTGAGTGTTGGTCCTGGATACAGGCAACGTATCTGTATCTGTGCCTGCAGAAAGCTCAAACCCCAGGGCTTTGCCATGGAGGGGGAAGTGTAAGCACTAGGCCACAGGAGTCAGGCATTTCAGGACATCCATATATTTTGTCATCAGGATGGCTATTTGTCAGTTCTTTTGTCTATGATGTTGTTTTGACAGCTGATTGGGTTGTTTGTGCTATTTTATTTTTTTATGGAAGAGCAACACTTGGCTTAACTTGGGAAGTACATTGTGTTGTGCTTGTCAGGGTGTCAACTGGAATAATTACCACCAAGCCACCAGAGAAACAAACATAGACAAACTGAGAGTTTGACAAGAACTAGAATCCAAAAAGTTGAAACTGACCTATCTGAAATGGAGTAAGAGCTACTGATGCGGTCATGAGACCATCTGAGTTCAGTGGGTCTCCTGCTTGCTGACCCTGACCCAGTATAGACAGACACAGGTCAGGCTGCAGCCCATAGCTCCCCAGCTGTGGGCTAAGTGTGACTGAGTGACACAGATGGAATTCCTGTGTAGCAGATCTTCTCTGTGGAGCTGATCACTTAGGATTATGTAGAGTGCACTGTCCAGTACTACGTATGGAAAAGACCTCTGTTTTCATCAATAAAGCATGGCAGCCTTGATGTTGCAATGCCCCCTGTCACCCTAGCTACCTTAAGCTTTCTCTGAGGACCTTTAAGGGTTTCTCATGACTAGTCCCTGGATAGTTAGCCTTCCTTAGCAGTGGATTAGAAGATCTAGCCCCTACTGTATGTATTTTTAGTGGCTCAGACTTTGTCAGTCCCAGCCTCTCTAAGTCAGTCCCAGGACAAATGAGAATAACCCTATCTATATAGAAGGAGATTAGACATATGAACTGCCTGTGGTATCTGCCACTGGGGACTCAGTAGATGGTAGCTTTGGAGCAGGGTTAACTAGGGCATTGAAATTGCTTTTGAGGATTGTTTAGACCCAGCATTTTCAAACATAGAAAAGTAGAAAGAATCATGCAGAGCAGAACACCACTTCTCCTTCCTTCCCTCCAGGTTCTGCAATTAAAGTTTTTCAATATTTGCTTTATTGCATACCTCTGTACCCTTGAGGGTGCTTAGAAGCACATGGATGGGGAGTGAACATTTATGGAGTGCCTACTGTGTCCCAGGGATGGGGCTCAGTAAAACAGACATGTGATTGCCACTTCCTCTATTCACCATGTTCCTGGGCCACACAGGTAGGCGGGATTCTTGTCCTCTGTTAGGGCAGCTTCCTTACTTCCTCCATTTGGAAATATGAACAGGGATAGAGCTTGGATTAGGAAATGGGGAGTATGTGAAGGAAGTGGTCGGTCGCCTTTGGGCTTACAGACTTCCTGCAGGAGGTGTCACTTGAGCTAGGGCCTTAGGAGCAAGAGAGGAGGAAGAGGAGGAAGAGATTGTCAAGTAGATGAGACAGAACACATACCACACTTGTATTCATAGAGTGTTTGGGGGTGACAGGTGCCCTGAGTGGCTGTGGTATGTCTATGAATGGGGACAGCTTGGCAGAAGAGGCCAGACAGACACAGATGAGTCTGACAAA